CCCCAACTCCATCCCTGTCCCCATCCCCATCCCTGTCCCCATCCCCAACCCCATCCCTGTCCCCCAGCCCCATCCCTGTCCCCATCACCAACCCCATCCCTGTCCCCATCCTCATCCCTGTCCCCCAGCTCCATCGTCATCCCCCAGCCCCATCCCTGTTCCCATCCCCGTCCCCATCCCCGTCCCCATCCCCGTCCCTGTCCCCATCCCGTGGCACCCATCCTGCACAGGGCTGGACCCGCAGAGGGGGCTGAGCACTGGGGCTGGGGAGGGGTGCAGCCTTACAGTCCCCTGGGGGCACGAGTGCCTGGGAACAGAGCAGGGTCCCAGCTCCCCCCAAACTGGCCCGGGCTCAGCCCTGCGGTTCTTTGTGTCTTTATTGTTTTTCCCCCCCTTCAGTTGGTTGGGTTTTTAATTAATTCCCAAATCTCATTTGGGCACCGGAGCTGGGGCTGGAAAAAAAGCCTCATGTCTGAAGTTGGTTTTGCAAATCATCCCTGGCCATCTCCAAATCTCCGCCAGCTCCGGGGGCAGAAGCACCGGGGCTCCCAATAACCGAGGAGGAAGCCTCTTGCTGGCGGAGCAGATCTGCCACTTTGATGTGCTCCCGCAGTTATTCTTTCATTCCTTGAGCAAATAATTTGGATTTTCACAATATTTACCTTGGAAATAATTATTTGTGTAAAGTGTCCAACCAAGACAAACAGGGAATGGCTCGGTCTCTCCGCGGGGCTGGGAGGGCTCACGTTACCCCGAACCTGCTGGAGTGTGTGCTCCGTGGGCAGCAGCTGAGGTGGGAAAGGGGCTTTAAACGAGCCCCCACACGTCCCCACGGACCCTCTGGGGGCTGGGGACCAACCCCCCCTCCAGCCCCAGCTGCAGGGCACGTAGAAGGATAGAAAAATGCAGCCTCTCTGCCCTTCCCGAATTGCTAACCCAGCCCCTTCCACAGGGGCTATTGCATCCCTGAGTTCCCACAGATTCAGGGGCTGTAAAGAAGCAAAAAGGTTGGGGGGCGAGGGGGGGAGTGTTAGAAAAAAGGTGAAGGAAGGTTCAAAGGGCTGCTACAGCTTGGGTTTTTCATCTCTAGTTAATCTCTGCAAGGCCTGAGGCGAAGTCACCTTTGGGTCAACGCTCAGGTGTTTTTATCTCCAGCCCCATCAGCCAGGACCGGGGAGGGGGCCGTGGGGCAGGGTGGGGGCTGCCGGGGGAATCCGGTCCCCCCGGTTCACACCAGGCTCTCCCGGGGAGGGGGGTAAGTCCTGCACCCCCAGCACGGGCTCCCCACCAGCTGGGGAGAGGTGGGAGGAGCAGCACGTTGAGGTGGTTAAAAGCAAAAACGGGTTTTAAAGGGAGTGGGGAGCAGCCTGGAGAAGAGAAGGCTCCGGGGAGACCTTAGAGCCCCTTCCAGTATCTGAAGGGGCTACAGGAGAGTTGGGGGGGGGACTCTTTGTCAGGGAGTGCAGTGACAGGACAAGGGGTAACAGTTTTAAATTGGAAGAGGGGAGATTTAGATTAGATATCAGAAAGAACTTCTTTACTTTTAGGATGTGGAGAGCCTGGCCCAGGTTGCCCAGAGAAGCTGTGGCTGCCCCATCCCTGGAGGGGTTCAAGGCCAGGTTGGAGGGGGCTTGGAGCAACCTGCTCCAGTGGGCGGTGTCCCTGCCCAGGGCAGGGGGGTTGGAACTCCATGATCTTTAAGGTCCCTTCCAACTCTGACCATTCTATGAGTCTATGGGTCTATGATTCCATGATCTGCTGGCACTGGCACAGGTCACCCAGGGATGGGAGGAGGGTGCCAGGACCTGTGCCCTCAACCAGCCACTCGCCCACGCTCCAGCAGCAAATACAGGAACAAATCCAGCCAGGGCTCAGCACTTTCACCTCCAAGGCTTTTATTAAGGGGTGCGAGATGCCCACCATCACAGCTCTGGGGTGTGACAGCAGCAGCAGGCGCTGGGGATGAGCGAGCGGGAGGGCGGCGAGAGCCTTGCTGGGACACTGCTGGGCTCCTCCATCCCCAGCGCTGGGGACAGAGGCCGGCACAGGTCCCTGTGAGCCGAGAGGCCACCAAAATATCCTTTTCAGAAGCAGAATTTTACAGAGATCCGTATTTTACCTCCTGGCTGCAGCCCCGGGTGGGAGCAGAGCCCAGCTGTGCCCGGTGTGAGACGGGAGGGGGCTCGGCGCAGCCTTGGATCCCCTGCCAGGCTCAGCTGGGGGATTTATCCGGGATGACTTATCTGGGGTGATTTATTCGGGGTGCAGCAGCATCTAGCAGTCGGTGAGGCCGTGATCTGCCCAGGCTGTGGCCACCCCATCCCACTGCCACACGCTGCTCCCGGTACCAGCACGGGGTCCCGGGCACCTCTTGGCTCTGCTCCTCTGACCAGTGGCCGGGAGGAATTTGGCTGGGGGATATGGGGGACCCACCACCTCTGAAATGGCTCCTCACCCTCCTTCTGCAGACAAGATGAAGGATTTGTGCCCATCTCTGCAGAGTCATCCCAGGCAGGCTCAGCCCTCGCCTCCCAGCGACGCCACCCCACTGCCCCCCCCCCCCCTTAGCAGTCGGTGAGGCCGTGATCTGCCCAGGCTGTGGCCACCCCATCCCACTGCCACACGCTGCTCCCGGTACCAGCACGGGGTCCCGGGCACCTCTCGGCTCCGCTCCTGTGACCAGTGGCCGGGAGGAATTTGGCTGGGGGATATGGGGGACCCAGCACCTCTGAAATGGCTCCTCACCCTCCTTCTGCAGACAAGATGAAGGATTTGTGCCCATCTCTGCAGAGTCATCCCAGGCAGGCTCAGCCCTCGCCTCCCAGCGACGCCCCCCCACTGCCCCCCCCCCCATCAGCAACTTCAACAGGATCCACGTCACATCAACACTTAGTAAAATACAGCAAACAAACACAGCGTCTCCTTTGTAATCTCTATTTAAGACTGTTCCTTGTATTCTGCGTGCAGTCCCCACTGGATAAAATGCAGATTAGAAAAAAAAAAACCCAAAATACTCTCTTTGCTTTCAAATGATAAATTAATACAAACACCAACAGCACAAGTTTGCAAGCAGCTTCCTGATCATGCACCGTGTTAGAGCATCCCCCGCGACAGACAGATGTGCACATCCACACACTGGCTGGAAGGAAAAAATCTAAATTAACTCTTCTCTAATACTGAGTCTAAAAAAAGTTATATATTAGATTTGAATCAGCTGACACTTAAATTTATTTTTATGCATTCTGAGGTCCCTTTTCAGAATGATTTTTTTTTTTTTCCCTCTCTCTCTCCATCTCTCTGCACGAGTTTAGATCTTATCTGCAAAGCTTTGACACCTGCTTCATTAGGTGAGCCCAAGGAACAGCCCCACACACCCTGACCCCACGGGGTGTTTAGCTCTGGCCGTTTCCGTGCGGAGACACCGGTGCGGGCACCACGCGGGGGATGAGGTGACCTCGTGCTGGTGCCCGAGCACGTGCTGAAGGGCTTTGCCTGGGTACATTTAAAAGCTTCGCCGTGCCAAGGCCCTCGCTGCCAGGACCATAAATTAGATTTAAAAGATGAGCCTCGTCACGCCAGGCTCAGCAAAGCCCAGGTCCTGAGGTCTACCCAGCCCCGTGTGCCACTGTCCCCAGACCGGTGGGACACGAGTTCCCACATGGAGGGAAAAGTGAGATGGATGCTCCGGGGACCCTCAGCCACGTTGGAGAGAGATGAGAAGGGCAGGGAGGGCACCCAGGCACCCAGCGAGTGCTCTGCACCACGTGTGACCCCCGAGATGCCACCAGCCAGCCCCACGCTGGCCGGGGGGATAAGGGGGGGACCAGGCAACGCGGGGGACACCTCATGGGCTGGGGGCGGCGGTGGCGGGGGGGCAGGGGGGGCCGTGCTGCATGCAGCGGATGAGCTCCTTGCGGTTATCCAGGATGGTGTCGAAACTCTCCTGCAGGCGGTTCTGCTGATCCACCACTTTCTGCTGGAGGCCGTGGATCCAGCGCAGCAGGGCCAGGCGCCGGTACATCACCAGCTGGATGTGGTGCTTCTCCTTCTCCCGCTCCTTGAAGCGCTCCTTGTCCTGCAGGTGCTGCACGGCCTCCGCCAGCGCCGGGAAGAGGGTCGCTGGTGCCCGAGCACGTGCTGAAGGGCTTTGCCTGGGTACATTTAAAAGCTTTGCCGTGCCAAGGCCCCCGCTGCCAGGACCATGCAAAGGATCGTAAATTAGATTTAAAAGACAAGCCTTGTCACCCCAGGCTCAGCAAAGCCCAGGTCCTGAGGTCTACCCAGCCCCGTGTGCCACTGTCCCCAGACCGGTGGGACACGAGTTCCCACATGGAGGGAAAAGTGAGATGGATGCTCCGGGGACCCTCAGCCACGTTGGAGAGAGATGAGAAGGGCAGGGAGGGCACCCAGGCACCCAGCGAGTGCTCTGCACTGCGTGTGACCCCCGAGACACCGCCAGCCAGTCCTGGGGGACAAAGGGGGGACTGGGCGCCGTGGATCCAGCGCAGCAGGGCCAGGCGCCGGTACATCACCAGCTGGATGTGGTGCTTCTCCTTCTCCCGCTCCTTGAAGCGCTCCTTGTCCTGCAGGTGCTGCACGGCCTCCGCCAGCGCCGGGAAGAGGGTCCCCGGCTCGGACTCCCCAAACTGGGGTGGGCTCCCGGGGCGGGGGGCGGCGTCGGGGGGGTCCCAGGTGCCCCCACAGGCGCTGTCGGGGCTGTCGATGCTGATGGAGCTGCTGGCGTAGCCGTTGTCCTCCGCGGGGGAGCCGGGGGGCTTGTTGCACCCCTCGGCCTGCTCCTCGGGGGCTGCGTTTTGGCCCCCAGCCCCACCGACCTCTGCTCCCTCGGGGGGGCTGCGCACCCCCGGCTCGGGGAGACGCGGCTGCCCGGCGCCCGGGCTTGGGGGGGTGTCCCTAAGCCGGCCCTGGACCATCTGTCTCTGCATTAATAACAGCAGATTATCGGAGGGATTTGTGGTGTTTTTTTTTTTTTTTCCTCTCTCTCTCCATCTCTCTGCATGAGTTTAGATCTTATCTGCAAAGCTTTGACACCTGCTTCATTAGGTGAGCCCAAGGAACAGCCCCACACACCCTGACCCCACGGGGTGTTTAGCTCTGGCCGTTTCCGTGCGGGGGCACCGGTGCGGGCACCACGCGGGGGATGAGGTGACCTCGTGCTGGTGCCCGAGCACGTGCTGAAGGGCTTTGCCTGGGTACATTTAAAAGCTTCGCCGTGCCAAGGCCCTCGCTGCCAGGACCATAAATTAGATTTAAAAGATGAGCCTCGTCACGCCAGGCTCAGCAAAGCCCAGGTCCTGAGGTCTACCCAGCCCCGTGTGCCACTGTCCCCAGACCGGTGGGACACGAGTTCCCACATGGAGGGAAAAGTGAGATGGATGCTCCGGGGACCCTCAGCCACGTTGGAGAGAGATGAGAAGGGCAGGGAGGGCACCCAGGCACCCAGCGAGTGCTCTGCACCACGTGTGACCCCCGAGATGCCACCAGCCAGCCCCACGCTGGCCGGGGGGATAAGGGGGGGACCAGGCAACGCGGGGGACACCTCATGGGCTGGGGGCGGCGGTGGCGGGGGGGCAGGGGGGGCCGTGCTGCATGCAGCGGATGAGCTCCTTGCGGTTATCCAGGATGGTGTCGAAACTCTCCTGCAGGCGGTTCTGCTGATCCACCACTTTCTGCTGGAGGCCATGGATCCAGCGCAGCAGGGCCAGGCGCCGGTACATCACCAGCTGGATGTGGTGCTTCTCCTTCTCCCGCTCCTTGAAGCGCTCCTTGTCCTGCAGGTGCTGCACGGCCTCCGCCAGCGCCGGGAAGAGGGTCCCCGGCTCGGACTCCCCAAACTGGGGTGGGCTCCCGGGGCGGGGGGCGGCGTCGGGGGGGTCCCAGGTGCCCCCACAGGCGCTGTCGGGGCTGTCGATGCTGATGGAGCTGCTGGCGTAGCCGTTGTCCTCCGCGGGGGAGCCGGGGGGCTTGTTGCACCCCTCGGCCTGCTCCTCGGGGGCTGTGTTTTGGCCCCCAGCCCCACCGACCTCTGCTCCCTCGGGGGGGCTGCGCACCCCCGGCTCGGGGAGACGCGGCTGCCCGGCGCCCGGGCTTGGGGGGGTGTCCCTAAGCCGGCCCTGGACCATCTGTCTCTGCATTAATAACAGCAGATTATCGGAGGGATTTGTGGTGTTTTCGCTCCGGCTGGAGCCCTCCTCCGGCGGGGACCCCGGCGCTGCCCGGCTCCAGTTCTCGTTGCTGTCACACACCTCTCCCACAAAGTTGGAGTTGGAGTCCTGCCCGCAGCCGGCCCCCGGGGAGGCCGTGCCCAGTGCTGGGCCCCCCCGGAACGGGGCGTTTGCTGGGGCACCCGGCGGGCAGACGGCAAACATCTCGGCGGTCTCCTTCCTGCAAGAGAGAGGCAGGGCTGCAACGTGTCTGGGGGGCACGGGGGGGGCACAACCCATCAGCTGTGGCGAGATAGAATGTCCCCCCACTTTATTCACCTCTCTCTTTAAAGCTGCTGACCCCAAATCACAGGCTCATCCTTGCCCGGGGTTTGCCCACTGCTCTCAGCATCTCCCCAGGCAACACCACCCAGGGACAACTCCTCACCCAGAGCAGAAGCTGGGGGCAGGCACCCCCCCCATTGCTGCTCCCTGCGAGCTCCAGCCCAAACCCACGTCCCCCGTGGTGAGGGTGGGAGGGCATGGCAGGGGCTGGCACGTCCTGGTGCCTGTGGCTGCTGCAACTCACCCGCTGCTGGTCGAGGGGGCTTGGAAGGAGATGTTTTCCAACAGCCAGGAGAGGTATTTAAGCAGGTGGGGCTGTGCAACCTCTGCTGTGTCCCCTGGGGTGGGTTGGGGTCACCTCTGGTCTCCACCAGTGCCCAAACTGGTGACCCTGGGCCACCTCCTCCTCTGTGGGGCCGGGAGCAGACGGGACTGGGAATGGGAAGGTTCACCCAGTATGTCTCGCTGGGTCACTGGCATCAAAAGCCCGTCTCCCAGCTCCCTCCCAGCCAGGATGTGCTCCCTGAAATCACAGCAAGGCAAACCCATTGAGTGCCCCCATTTCACCCCAGGAAAGGCAGGAGGGGTCCAGGGTGCAGCGTGGCCAGCTCAGGGCACAAAACACATGCCACAGCAGTAACGTGGCCCCAGCAAGAGCCATGGAGATGTCCCCCCTGCTGCCACCCCCCCGGCTGGCGGTGCCTGCAGCATCCACCATGCCCGGGGCAGGGGCACCCAGACCCACCAGCGCTGTTTGCGAGGGTGGCACCGGAGGGAGGGGGGCGACAGCGTGATTGTGCCCGGGGGCTCCCCAAGGCCTGGGATGCCGGGACCGCGCACCGCACCGATGTGTCCCCCCCCCAACCCCGCGACACCGATCCCCCCCAAAATGACACCGACCATTTGCGCCATCAACCCGCTCCGCCCCGTGGGGGGAAAGATGCCCCCTGGGAGGATGCGCTGCCCCCAGGACGGGGGGGGGGGGGGCGGGGGGGGGCCGGGGCCGCCCCCCCCGCCGCAATAAAACTGCCTTTTGTCTGGGCCCCCGTTCCCGCGGCCCCTCGGCTGAATGCGGCGCTGGGGAGGATTTAAATGACATGGTAATTTCATGCCGTCCCACCGGCGGGTTTGGTTATCAAAGAAAAAAGGAATGTTCCTTCTTTTGGTAATGAAAAATTTGATCAACGTATTTTTGCAATGAAGAAAACCTTAAATAAGAATAACAGTAATGTTAAGAGTAGTACCAATTGAACTGCCTCATTCTCTTACCATTTCCCTATTAACTTAAGCAGGCTGTACATAAAATCCAAAACACAGATAGGAACGAACTGACAGGGAAAAAGAAAGAATTAAACAAAAAAAAAAAAAAAAAAGAAAAGACTAAAAACTCCGAGGGGATCCCAAGACAAGAAAGCTTTTTCAGAACACAGTTCCACAGCACTTTAAGCCAAGCTTGTTGAGCCTAGAGAAGGCTCCGGGGAGACCTTGGAGCCCCTTCCAGTCCCTCAAGGGGCTCCAGGAGAGATGGGGGGGGACTCTGGATGAGGGAGGGGAGCCATGGGATGAGGGGTAACAGTTTTAACCTGAAACAGAGGAGATTTAGATGAGATCTGGGGAAGAAATCCTTTGGTGTGAGGGTGGTGAGAGCCTGGCCCAGGTTGCCCAGAGAAGCTGTGGCTGCCCCATCCCTGGAGGGGTTCAAGGCCAGGTTGGAGGGGGCTTGGAGCAACCTGGGCTGGTGGGAGGTGTCCCTGCTCACAGCAGAGGAGCTGGAACTAAGTGGTCTTCAAGGTCCCTTCCAACCTGAACCGTTCTGTGACTCTGTGATCCCTCCCGTGTCTGCCCAGCCTGGGGGGGGGGAAGGGGGAAACTCCCACCCATGTTGGTCCGGGCAGGGAGAATCAATCATAGAATCATAGAGTTGTCCATGCTGGAAGGGACCTCCAAAGGTCATCTAGTCCGACCCCCCCGCAGTCAGCAGGGACACCCCCAACTAGACCAGGTTGCCCAGGGCCTCGTTGAGCCTCTCCTTGAATATCTCCAGGGAAGGGGCCTCAACCACCTCCCTGGGCAACCTGTTCCAGTGCTCCACCACCCTCACAGTGAAGAACCCTCTCCTAAGAAGGGCAGGAGAGGCTCAGAGGGGGCAGGAGAACGTGGGCTGGAGCCCCACCACCACCCACAGCCCCGGCACAGGGTGGGAGTGGGGCTGTGTGCCAGGCTGGGTGTGTGGGGGTGCATCCCACGGGCTTTGGACACACTGACTCCTTCCCAGCCCCTGCCCCGTGGGTCCCGTGAGCCTCGGCATGTCCCCGAGGGGATGGGGGAGACGGCGGGACCCACGGTCTCAATGGGGCCTTTATTCCCCCCACCCAGAGCCGAGGTGTCCAAGTGGTGGGAAAGGAAAAGGCTCAACAACATCAAAACAGCTCCCACGGGCGCCAGGCTGGCACCGGGGGTCACATGAAGCACCATGAGCATTTGGGGAGATAAAGAGGCTTTGTGGGGCCGGGAGGAGATGTACCGTGCGGTGGTGAGGCTGGTGGCCTAGGGCTGGGAGCCAGGGTGGGGGCAGCTGGGGTGCTGCAGACCCCCCCATTACCCACAGAGCTGCCCCAAGCGGGGATGACCCCATCTCCTGCTGGGTCCACCCCGTGTGGTCCTCACCAGCATCCCGTGGTAGCTCTGGGATAGACGTGCCATGAGCACAGGACCATCACTCCGAGGGCTCTGCAGCCCAAGCCCACCCCCTCCAAGTCCAAACCAAATCTCACCAAGGGCTTGGTGCCTCCTGCCTGTCCCGAGGAGGAGGAAGGAGGGGATGAGGGGGCTTTCAGGGTGGATGAAGATCCTCTCCAAAGCTCTGTACTGGGTGAGGTGGGACACTGGGGAGAAGCACCAAGAGCTGATGTTCCTCCATGACATTGCAAGGGTTTGGAGCAGTGGAATACCACTAAGAAGTGATGAATAAGTTCTTTTAACTTCCCATCTGCCTGACAGGCCCCCAGGCAGCCGCTCCAGCTCCTGGCTGCTCCAGCCCCAAAAGCCTCCATGTTTCCATCAACCAGGAGTCGGTGGGGTGGGACCGAGAGCTGTAACTGGGGCAGTTGGGCTGCAGCACTCCTCCGAGGAGAGCCCAAGATTAAAGAAACAAAACCTTCCCATCACACAGGAAAGGCAGAAACTGGCTCAGGCGCGTCTGTGAAATGGGCAGGAAAGAAAACAGGGTTTGGGCAAACAATGGGCTCTGCTTTGCCTTGAGCTGAGCGTTTGCTTCTCCGGGCTGGTTTGCGTGTCCCTCCCATCAGGGGCCTGAGCTCAAAGCAAAGCTAAATATTCACCTCTGAGAGCAAGGAGGAAAGTCTGATCCATGCGGGGACCTTCTCCTCCACTTGACTGGGCGGAGGCGCAGCTGAAACAGCCTTTTTCCACCACAGGTTCAGATTTCACCCAGCAGAAGGGAGCTGGAAGCCCTGCTGCAGGTTGGCTGGTGGGGCAGGAGCAGGGTTTGCTCCTCTCTTGGCTTTACTCATCCCCACCCCAGGGCTTCCCGTGGGGCTGGTGGGTGCAGACGTGCCCAAGCCTGCTGCAAACCTGCTTGGCATCCCAACCTCACTGGGGCGGGCGGAAACCTCTGTTTTGGGGGTTCCTCCCTCAAATGCCAGTCTTGGCGGGAGCTGGGTGGGTGCTGGGTTTGAGGAGGGGGCCCAGAGCAGCAGTTGCAGGGTCTGTCTCGCTGGGTGCAGCTCAGGTTCAGCCCAGCACCCCCAGCCCCGGGATTATCTGTATCTGATGGAGACCAGAGGGATTTGCTGCTTGCAAGGAAAACAGCTCCGTGTCCCCATGAACCAGCTGTCCCCTCAGCCCCAGCTGCCCCCCGTCCCAGGGGGACCCCAGCTGGGGCACAGGACGGAGGGGACACTGGACATGGAGAGGCTGGGCTGGTCCCTTTGGGGCAGGGGAAAAGAGAAGATTTGGAGGTGGAGGGGGCTTAGTGATGGATTTCAGAGTCATCTTCCCTTCCACTTCCCCTACTTTGTTCCAGAAATAAATTAAAAACTCTCCCTCCAGGAAATTAAAAATCATTTAAGAAGACCGAACGCGGGGCCTGATGTGCTGGGGTGGCCATGGTGGGGCCGTGCTCGGCCACGCAGCGATGCTGGGACGGCCTTGGCCAGGCCCCCTCATGGCTGAGAACACCTGGGCACCCAGGAGCCACCATCCCACCACCCCAGGACCTTGGTGCAGAGATGGGGAACCCGTCCCGAAAGAGTTAAGGGCGAAACATCGCCAAAAAAAAAAAATTACAAAAGAAAAAAGTGCCCTGAACCACATGCGACCTAACCTCCCCAGCGGCTCATCTGAGTTTAATAACGGAGGAGGGAAATCTCCCAAAAAGCTCTCAGAGAAATTAAAGTAAACAGCGTGCTGACCTCCAACCCCACGCTGCCCCGACGCTGACTCGGCCCCGGCTGCGGCAGCACCGGCGGCGCGGCATTCGGTGTAATTGTAAACACATTCGGGTAAATACACCGGGGGGGGGACGGTGAGGGGGTCCCGGGGTGGGAGCTGCTCTCCCAGCACCCGGCAGGAACCGGGGACCAGCAGCCGGGGGGATGCCATGGACTGGTTGGTGGCTTTGGGCTGCGTGGCCGTGTCCCATCCCGGGCTGCGAGGGGCTTTGCGGGGCTGAGGGATGTGGCCAGTGGGGCCAGTGGGGCCAGGAGCCACCAGGACCATCCTGCTGCCCCGTGACTGCAGGGTTGGGGCTGGGAAACCTAAAGTCAGGAGTGCTGAAGGAGGGAGGAGGAGGAGGAGGGTGCTATAAAGGGTTTGTCTTCTCGGCCTCACAAAAATCTAAAAGCAATGCTCTTATTTCCATAGATCCCGGTCAGTTTTGTAGGCTGAGGGAAAGAAAAGCAGCCCCGGGCTGTGAGAATGAAGGAGCTCCTCTCTGGGGAGGGGACAGCAAAGCCACCCTCCTCTAGGGAGGAATTGGGAGCTGAGCATTGCTGCCAGCCTGGCCCCATCCCTGTCCTTGTCCTTGTCCCCATCCTCATCTCCATCCCTGTCCCCATCCCATCCCTGCAGAGCCCTCACACGCAGCATCCCCTCGTCTGCATTCCCCATGGGGATTTCTGGGGCAAACACCACTCAAAGAGAGGGGAAGGGGGCAGAGGGGGCTGGATCTGGGTGAGCCCCACTCCTCTGCCCCACTCCCCGGTGCCTGGGCTGGTCCCCGCTGCCTGCCCTCTACCTGTAAACCAAATTATATCTCAATCAGAATCAAAGGCAGTGGCAGATGCGCTGTATTTGGTGAAAAATGCCAGGAATCCGCAGCCAGATTGGGTTTCAGAGGAGATGGGAATCCCACGGAGGCCAGAAGGTTTCCATGGGACTGGGGGTTAGAGCCCGCTCCCCCCAGCAGCTCCCACCTGAAGGATCAGCCCTTGGGATGCATTGGGATACAGGGGAGAGGAGGAGGAGGAGGAGGAGGCAGAGGAAGGGGCTGCGGGGCCAGGGACTCCATTGGAGGTGTGACCTCCTGCCAGAGGGACAACCCATCGGTGATGGGGACACAGCTCTGTCCCTGGGACACGCAGCCCCGTCACCCCAGGTGGGAGATACCCCCCTGGCCCCCTGCCTGGGGAGAAACCTCCTTCCCCTTTGCTTTCCCAGCTCCCACAAAAGGGTTTCTCTCGGTCTGGGGGATGTTCTCTGCCAAGAGAGTGAAGCTGGTGTCCCGCAGACGTTTCCTCTGGGGTTTATCCGCCGCCGAGCTACAAAAGGGGAATATTGCTGCCAGCTCCACCCCTCCCACCAGACCGGGACCCAAAAATCAC